TTTTATTTTTCTTTCTCCAGCAAACATGCAAGACTCTGGAATCTCAGTGTGGGCAGTTCTAGCCAGGCTGAGGTTTCTCAGCTATGGCCCCTGCAAGTGTGAAGAAATGCAAGAAATGAGGCTTTAGAAGATGTAAAGGCCTTCAACAAAAGATAGCAGAGCTAGGGAAGAAGTTTCATTTCCCTGGAGAAGGGGAATTCCACATTAAAAAAAAAAAAAGTAAAAAACCCCCAACTTTTTGAGCTAAGTTCTGCTGTTTTATGGAGCGAGTATCAGTAAGGATTTGCTGTGGAGGGACAGCAGTTTCTGCTGTTGCACCCAGGGCTGGTATGTGTTGTACCCACATAGAACGTGAGCTGCAAAGTTCAACTCTGACTTATCACAGGCAGCTGCCTGCTCAGTTTTTCCATCTTCTTGTCCTCAGCAATTTCTTTCTGTACAAAGGCACCGCTCCCCTGGCCATGTACACACCCTATAGATGACTCAAGCTATTTAACCTATGGGCTGGGAAGGGACTTGGGAGAGAGAGAGAGAGAGACAGAGAGACTTGTTCTCATTTATATTTTTCAATGCTATGGAAACACTGAAATTAGGATAATGAAATAATGAATAGAATAATAATTAAACTGGTCCACGAGGCGCATTATCTGTACATATATATATATATCTTTTGGGGGGCTTTTTTGCTACTTGCCTTTTTTTTTATCAGAGCAATCAGATTTTTATGAGGTGAAAGGTTATTTGTAACAAGCAATTTGTTACAGTCACCATGAGAAATAACGAGCGTGCATTGTGAGCACACATCCTGCTGTTCAGACTTGCGGTTGCTACGATAACAGAAACAAAACACCAGTTTCGGGTGTTCGCAGCTTCCGAGGATGTGGTTTATGCGCTGCTTGTGATAGTCTGATGACTGAAGATGGCTCTCTTCCAGTAATTTTTGAATTTTTTCTGTCTCTTAGAAACCCTTTTGTTGTGAGTACTTGTGAGGACATATGTGATGACAATTAAGTTTATTTTCCCAAAGCACAGAAAACATCCTCGATAATTTGAAATACGTTCTTTGTTTATTTTTTTGCCTGCACCTATTCCCGGGGTCTGTGAGTACAAGTTCTGACTAATCAGACCACGGGGAAGACACGATTTGAGCAGTAAGGGAGGACAAATGAGCTTGAAAAGAGGATGTTTTTGAAACAATCACTGTAATTCTTAAATAAATTAGTTGTCTTGAGACAGCACCTAGAATTCAACACTCGTACCAGCTGCTGAGGACAGACACAAGAGAAGGACAGCCTCTGTAAGTAACACTGTCTGTCCTGTGCTATCTGTTCTGCCCCATGCAAACAAAAATGTCATGAGTGTTGGGAGGGATTCCTTTGCTCCACACGTCACGTTTGAGCTTGCATGAAGCTCTGCTGCCATAACCTGTACTTATATTCCCGTGGGTGTGCTGCAGAAGGCAGTATTTTAGGGGTCCTGTGGCCACCGCCCCACACTGCTTGGCATTCCACTCCCATGAGCTCTCTCACTCCGAACTTCTGACAAGAGGAACAGTCCCTTGCAATTACTGAGTCAGTGCTGTGGAAGGCTCATGACACCACGCTGCGGTGACACGTCTCTGGGCTGCAGTGCTGGGACAACCTTGCTCTCCAGGGAGAGCTGAGAATTAAGGATGTGCTTGCAAGGAAACTGAACAATGAAGACATTTTTTTCACAGCTGATGTTTGGGGAAGTAGCACTTGCAGCTGCCACGGCAAATCAAAAGGATGAATCTGAGAATTCCCTCTGAGAGAGTGAAAAAAACCCCGATCAACAAACAAGTTAACTTTTGTCACCCATATTTTTGGGGAAATCTGCTGAAGCTGTTTGCCAAGAACCACCATGGGATAACTGATAAATTACAACGTTGTATATTCCTGACATTATAGGGATTCTGGGATCCATGAGAAACTGGGCAAGAAACAGTACCACTTTAAAACACAAGAGGCTGGCTTGATGCTTAAATACACTGAAGAAGGGCAGTTCTGATGAGCCTAAAAATCCTGCAGCCAGCTCTCAGCCTAAAAGCAGTAAAAGTATCCAGCTTTTATTTGTTCCTTTCACTTGTTTCAAGCAATTGGAGTGGCCTCCTATGATAAATGATAAAATGTACACTTGGGCCTTGCTGCTCTGAGTGGATGGAGGTGAATAAATTCTGTGCTCTTCCACTCCGAGTGCTTGCTGCCCAGACAGGAACACTGCTGTTGTCAGTGGGGAAGCAATTCATTCTGCTACAACTAGGCACTGTAATTCCCTGAGCTCTGTTTCCCAGCTTTCAGCTGTGAAACCTCTCTGCCAGCGCTCACTGCACCAGAGAGAAGGGGAAAACTGCGCCACAAAAGCATCTTTGAAGGCAACACAAACCCGGGAAAGTGTGTTCAAAGTATTTCAGTGTAACATTTCAATGAAAGACACATCCTAGAAAATGCAAACCTAAAAGTACAGGTTGGAGTCAAATGTAAAGGCTTTAAATAATTTTCCTATACAAAATTTACTGCACTGACGTATAAGGATCTACCATGGAAGGCATGCTGCTCTTAACCCTGATGTGCAGCAATTGCAAACCCCATTTGCTTCACTAGAGAACTTCTGTAGGGGATGCAAAATGGAGTGGAAAGAGAAGTGTATCTGCTCTAATAGTTAAAAAATAGAACTTCCTTATTTCTTATTCCAGGATTGCTGTTTAAGCTCTTCTGGTCAAGCAGAACAGCAGCAAGATCATTTGGATGAATGATGACAGTGTGTGTTTTGCCTATCTCCCCTTTCATACTTCCTAAAAATGCACAGTACTCTTGTTGGCAATAGGGATCAGCAACATGTCCTCCAACATTAAGACTTCCTGTGGAGACACAAACATGTTTACTAATCTGGCCCCAGTGTCATATTTAGGCTTTGCCAACTCCACTACTGTGATAAGCAAAAGAACAGCACACACACACACACACACACACACCATCAAAGCCTCAAGACTAAGGAAAAAATTAGCTTCCATTATGGGCACCTTCCACTCCTACTTAAGGGGAACAAAGACAAAAGGAGGTAACAAAACAATTATATATCACCTCTAGCATTACCCACTACTGAGGAACAGCTATGAGGACACCATGCTGAAATCAAGTAGAAAAAATGATACCATGGAAATGGAACAAAAATAATAGTTTGCTGCTACATCTCTGTCCTACACCAGGAAGCCTTTAACCTGCAAATTGGCAGATGGTCAGCATATACTGGTGAAGTCTCATCACATTTTTACCTTATTACTCTTTTCCTTACACATCTGTTTCCTGTCATGTTCAGAAACAAAATTCTGCATTGGCTGAGTACCTAGCAGGACCAAATACACCTTTTGTGATGATTTCAGTTTCTGCTTGAAGTGTGCTGGTGGTATATACACGTTTAAATGTTTGGCCAGTCTGAGGATAAAGAAACAAATAGCAGATAAGTAGCAGAGCAGTCTCTATAGGATGTATGAATGCTGGAGAAGCTCAAAGGTGGCTCTGAAACAGAGACCTACATCCTGGAAAGAAGAGAGCAGAGAAGGGCCCCCCAGGGAAACACTGGGTGCAGATACCCAGAATCACAAAATCACAAAATTGTTAAGATTGGAAGGGACCTCTGGGAATCACCCAGTCCAACCCCTTGCCAAGGCAGGGTCACCTGGAGCAGGTGACACAGGAGCGTGTCCAGGTGGGGTTTGAATGTCACCAGGGAAGGAGAGTCCTTAACCTCCCTGGGCAGCTGTGCCAGTGCTCTGCCACCTTCAATGCAAAGAAATTCTTCCTCGTGCTGACGTGGAACTTCTTGTGTTTTAGTTTATGGCCAGTGCTCCTTGTCCTGTCACTGGGCACCACTGAAAAGAGCCTGGCACCGTCCCTTTGGCACTTTGAGATATTTACATGCATTGATAAGATCCTCTCTCAATGATGCCCCAGACTGTGGAGTTCGAGGTTCTGCAGCTTGAGAGAGCATTGCACGACCCAGGACCTACACGTGTAGGGTTATCCTTCGTTAGGATAGAATGGATACACTCAGTATCTCCTGCAGTGAGGGTACGAGGGCTGGAGGCTGTAAGGGAGATCCAACCGCCGGCATTGACACCAATTGCGAGCTACGGAAGTGACGGAACCGCCTTTTCTTTTATTGAGTCCCCTATAGGCCCACAAATACCCGCGGCTGCCTCAGTTTCTGAGAGTGTCGCGAGTGCTGGGGCTCCCCCTGGCGACAATGCTGCCCGGCCGGGGAGCCGCGGAACTGGCGGGGGCACAGTTCCCAGGCAGGGATGGCGCCGGGGCACCGGAGCATGGCTCGCCGCCTCCCCAGTCGCGACTGTCGCGACATGAGCCCCCAGCCCCACTCGCGGGCGAAGCTTTTTGGCGGGGCGGCGCTCCGTAGCCCGCAGGCCGCGCGCGGCCCCGCAGCCGTTGCCACGGCAACGAACGGCGAGCGCCCGGCCAGTGTCACGTCACCCGACCCCAACCCCGCCCCCTCCCGCCGCCATCTTGGAAGTTGCGTCAAGATGGTGGCGCCAGCGGCTTAAAGCTCCGCCCCCTGCACGCGCACGGCGCGGTTACGTCATCGCGTTCTCACGGCCCTGAACCCGGAAGTGCGTCTTGCCATTCGCGGGCGTGTGGGGCGGGCGGGAGCGCCCGAGCTCAGCCGAGTCGGGCCGAGTGGGGCCGAGCTGAGCCGAGCCGAGCCGAGCCGGCGGGGCGGAGATGGCGGCGGCGGAGCTGCAGGGGAAGTACCAGAAGCTGGCCCAGGAGTACTCCAAGGTACCGGGCACCAGCGCCCGGCCCCGCTGCCGCCCCCCGCGGGGCCCGCAGCCCTGTCGCCGCTCGGGGCTGCAGCGCTGCTTTCCGTGGTAGCGCCAAGTGCCGGGGCCCGGGGGTGCTTCCTCCGGGGGATGAGGCGGAGGCAGCTCGGGCGGCACGGGAGGTGCGGGTCTGCAGGTGCCGAGGGAGCGTGACGAGAGCAGCATGGCCTCGTCTGCAGGACATCCTGCAATACAGACCGTGGGCTCAGCTGTGCCAGGGAAGTGAAACTGGCAGTGTTTTCCTTGCTCTCCACTGCCCACTTGGGCGCGAGACTTGGTTTTGTCCGCTTGGGTGTGAACATTTGCCGAGGTCTTGGTCGTGCATCTCACCCGTGTGAGCTCGCTCTGGCCGGCGGGTTTGGGAGCTCGGCGGTGTCAGTGGTGCTTGCAGTGTCTTGGAAGTGAGCAGGACACTTGCTTCCACACTTGCCTCCTGTCTGTCGCCCTTCTTCTGCCCTAGGTGACTTTGCGCCCTGTTTCTGGTGCTGCTTGGCACAGGGTTTGTAAAGATGTGTAGCCCATAGTGGAGAACGCCTTCCCTTTCCAAGGTGCCTGAGATGACTTCTAAAATAGTGGAGCCTTGCTTAATACAGAGCCCTTCATTCTTTATTCTTCACTAAAAGGAAAAGGAGACTCTTGATCTTGAGTGCAGAGTCCTTCAACAGCCTTGGGGAAGAAAGGCAGCACTTTGGTTTTGTGTAGCCCCACATCAGCAACTGGCACAAGGTGCTTGTCTGTGTTTGACACTTCTCCCAGCTTACAGTCTTAAATGTCTTTAAATACTCTTCTTCTTGGAACTGTTGTGAAAACACCATGTGTAGCATCTAAATTGTTCACAGATAGATGTCATTTTAATGCTTCTACAAAATAATTTTAAGAAAATTTAATTTACTTTGCAGCTTTTTAGGTCACAGAATTCACATGTCTTGTTTTATACAGAGGCTCTGTTGTTCCTTGGAGATAAATAGTGGCTGAGGATAAGATAATGGAGGGATTTTGGTGCTTGATTACTGAATTAGCATTGGAAATGTGGACTTGCGACTATAGCTTCCAGAAGTTCCATCTGCTGGATCCTTTCTTTTAGTATCATGGTGTCCAAGGCTTTCTTTGAGCTTCATCATGCACTTCTCAGCCTGTGCCATTTCCCTTCTCCTTTGCGGGAACTGTTTTTTTCATTTCATCCCGTTTCTCACGTAGTGCAGTTCATTGTGGGACTCCTCTTTGCAGAATCCTCTCCTCTTTGTTGTTGGCTGCTGGTTGTGTGCAGGTGGAAATGGAGAGTAGCCCTGGACTAGCCCAGTCACTTAATGGTGTTGTGAAAGCCATGGAGAGAGGTGGACAAGAGTTTGAGAGACTCAGGCAGTGCTGGGGGAAGTCCCAGCCAAAGGATTGCTTTTCCTCTTGGTTCACAGACCAGCCCAGAAGAAGGATGAGGAGAAGAAGAGACTCTGAAAACATACAAGTTGAAGCTTCTGGCTCTCTCGTGAAGGAATAGTCAAAGCAGCTTTGTGTCAGCCTGTGTGGGTCAGACTTCAGCTGGGGTCTCTGGGTGCAGCAGGACTGAGCTGCTTCATTCCCTGAGCCTGATGTGCTCCTGCAGTAGTAACTGTGGCACAAAGACAGGTGTGTAAAACTACTGCACTGCTCCTTTTTGCTAGGGAAACCCTGTGCTTGGAAGTTTTTCTGTGGTGCACTGGGAAGTTTCTTGTCTTGCCTTTGTGATGCCTGAGCAGCACAGTGGGAATAGTGCAAGGGAAACAGCTGTGCTTAGCAGTGACTTCTGACCTTTCAAATACACTCAGTCACACTGAAACAATGAGCCACTGCTGTTTTACACTGAATCTTGCCTTTTATGCACCTGCCGGAGGTATTCCCAAGCACTGTACAAACCCTTTTAATTTATATCTGCAACAGCTGGACTCACACATGTCAAAGGAATGCAAACTGCCTTTGAAGAAACCAGGATTCAAGCAATTTTCAAGGAATAGGAAGATGGAACTGTCAGTATCCTCATTGCTACAGGGTAGAGGTACTCTGTGAAGTGACTGGGAAATAGATTTCTTGAGTATCACTTTTCACTGCAGTGATTTTAGTTCAGATTTTGGCTAGTATATGAGTAAGACGTAGAGGGCTTTTGCTTCTATGCTTTTTATGCCTTTTTGTGTCAGTCTGTTCTCTCTGGATCTTCTGCTGCCACTGGTAATAAGTAATTTTGCATTAGAGTTTAACTCCTCTTGATACAGATTTTGACTTTGTGAGTCCTGCTTGTGTTCTAGAACCAGTTATAAACAGTTTTGAGGAGAAGAGAGGAGAGACAGAAATATGACCAAGAACTTCATTAGTCAGGGAAGAGGTTGCAGCTTTTTCCATATTTGTTCCTAGTTCTTCAAATCTTAACTATATGTAAGTAACTGGTCTTCAAGGGCATTTATTGAGTAAGAATTCTGTTCTATTTGACCAAAATGTGCAGATGGTAAAGTTATTTCTTTTTCCTTGGCAAGTCAGGATATGAAATGAATACTTTTTTCCAAACTTATACCACTGCTATCTACCTGAAGAGAATAGTTGAAAAAGCATTCCCACCTGGTACTCTCCTGAGAGAATATGATGCTTTCTGCACTTTCTCATGAATGGCTTTTGTTCATTCTGTTGCCTTGCATAGTTACTGGCATCTCTTGTTTTTCAGCTTCGCGCTCAGAACCAAGTCCTGAAAAAAGGAGTTGTAGATGAGCAAGCTAACTCTGCCTCACTGAAGGTAATCTCTAAAAACTTCTCATGTCAGGTGTACTAAGCTGTGACAAAATAAGTATATAGGGGTACTTTTTACTGGAAAGTAATATCAATAAAAGAATGAAGAAGGAACTTGATTTTAATAAAATAATTTCTGTTTTGCAGCTGGCCTGTTCTCTATAACTGCCAAGTTTGTAAAAGGGGAGGTTCTTTTTGATTATCCTATAGAATTAAATAGCTACTTGGGTATGATCTGTGGTCAGCTTAAGGAAGTGAAATACATTTTTTTAGTTTAGTAACGATACTTTTTGTCTCTTGAGTGTTTAAAAACACTGAAGGAATTTTCTAATTTGTACTTGTTTTTAATGTGTAAAAATAAGTGTGAAAATTTTAAATTTAATTATTTTTGTCATTCAGGACCAGCTGAAGATGAAGGATCAATCTCTGAGGAAACTGCAGCAAGAAATGGATAGCTTGACCTTTCGAAATCAGCAACTTGCCAAGCGGGTGGAACTACTTCAAGATGAACTTGCATTAAGTGAAGCTCGGGGCAAAAAGAACAAAGTATGTGCTGAAGGCAAAAAATACTTGCTTAGCAGATGTCTGCTCCTCACCTGTCAAAGCCTTATCATGATTTTTAGCAGTAGGTATTTTGTGTCAAGGGTTGAGCTGAATGTTCTAGTCAGAACATTCTTGTGTTTTTTTACCTGATGTTAATGAAAATACCTATAAAACAGGTATTGATATATATATAATACATATTGTGCAGTTCTCTAGTCGTCTAGTCTGTCAGTTGACTGATGCTGAATTGCTGTCTTCTTTTATGGATATTTATTAAGTGTTCAAACAACTAGGAAATACTTTGGAGCTCTGTGATTAGTCAGCTGCTCTGCAGAAAGCTGATCACTCCTCATTTCCCATCCCCACCTCTTTGCTTTTAATTGTGATGTTGGTAGTTAACTCTTCAGCCTGTGATCATAACTTTTCTATGTGAATCTTGTCAAATGCTTTGAAATGGAAATTTTTAGCTTGTATTCTTTCTGTTAATTCAAAATGACAGAATGATTTCAACACTGTGATCTTTCTCTGCCAAGTGCTTGCTGATTAAACCTAGTGATATCATATTCTAAGACCAACTGTGCCTTCTGTAGGTAGCATCACAGTTCAGGGGTGATGTGCTTGGACTTAAGTAGTTCTCAATTGTCTCTTGCTACTTTCCTTGTGAGGAAACCCCTCTTAATTACTGCTGTCTTTTCTTTTTGGTGTTGTCTGTTCTCAATGTGCTGTAGTTATCAAGACTGACTTTAAAGAAATTATTCAATTAATTAGTATTATGATCATCTTCCTTACTTTTCCCCTAAACTCCTGACCATTTTTCTGCTGTCTAATTCCTTGACAAGCATAGTGCTTCTGACTACATTATTCATGCACCACAATAGATTGTTCTTTCAAATGCAGTTTGACCCTTCTGTTCTTTTATTTCGAATTCTGTAAGTTACTGTTTTGCTAGCTGTGTTTCCAAATTTTGAAGGATGTCAACCTGTCTTTAGTAGCTTTGCAAGCCATTGCCACTGAGTTTCTTTCCTATTCATCTGTCAAAATGCACAGCTTTTAGTTCCCTGGACTCTGTCAGAGTGCAATCCTTTTAGAAGGAGCAGAACATGTGCCTATTCTCAGGTGGAGTTCACAGGCTGGCATCAAATACAGTGGTGACTTATCTGCCCTACATATCCCTAGTTCTTGAAGTTTGGTGTTGAGCTTAATTGCAAGGAGTCTCCCCTGTGTTTGGTGATGATAATGCCTTTCTTCAGCATTGTGGTGTATGGGATTCACTGGTAGTCTGAGTGTTTTGGATTAAATGAGTGAAAAATGAGGAAGCAGTTGGCAGAGGGATATGTGTGGTTGATGGGCAGGGAAGACCCAGTGGTTTCCGTGGCACCTTGTGCTACAGCGTGCTGAGAGCAACCTGGCTTACACCTGCACCCTTGCTGGGGACAGATGTGCCTTACACACAGTTACCAAACCAACTGAGCCTGCGTGTGGAGGGTTTTGGATTACTGATTGCATGAGATCATGCAGGATTCCAGTGAATTCAGATGGGCTGCTGCCCGTCCAAGTGATTGATTTCCTGTGTGTGTGAATGAGACACCTGAGTGGAGGCTTTCCCTTGGCAGTGTTGTTCCACTGTAGGGTCACAAGGGTGAGAAGGAAAGTGTGCTGCCTTGAGGCTGGTGCTGTGTGCAATATTCACACCTTTTGATATATCAGTCAGTGTCAGTAGGACATTTGCTGGTGTGCCCCTTCTGGGAATTACCTGTGAGAACTGTTCTTGCAAACTTGGGACTTGGAGATAATGAGTGCATTTTGTCTCTTAGAAAAGTGTAGAACCCTCATCTCAGCTGAGTCAAGAACAGAAAAGTGTCTTCAATGAAGATCTTCAGAAGAAAATTGAGGAAAATGAACGACTGCATATACTTGTGAGTGAAATTTTGTTTCGCCTTTATTTTTGGTTCAGAAAACTCGTGATGCAAACAAAGATAGGGAAAGTAAAGTGCTGTCTGAAAACTGGTGGGTTTAGAAGCTTAGTTGTATGCAAAGCAGTAGATTAGATCAGATTGGTTTATAAAGATGTTCACTAGGGAAATAAAGTATTTTGACTTTGGATTTGTGAGTGTGTGGAATCGCATAATACGCTTTCTCTCATTTAGATTTTTGACTTTTGGAGACAGCTGCCTTACCAAAAATAGCCTGGTACTGGATGGAAATTTCTTATTAGTACATTAACTGTTTCAGAATTGCTTTAAAGTTTAAAATATTTTCTGCAAGTTGCCATAATTAAGTCAGGAATCCACCAAATTGGAATGCATTTCACTTTAGAAAACTTGAGAAAAACATTTTGGCTCAAGTTCAGTTTTACGTGTGTCTGCTATTAGTCAGCAATATATTTAAAGAATGCTTAGTACTGCAAAACTGCTTTTATTAAAGTACTTTGTTCCTGAATCTTTTTTCTGTAAATAAAACAAAATTTCTGTTTGTCTGAGAACTGGTAATTGCTCTTAACCTGATCTGGCTAATGAAATTGGAGTCACTTAAAGGACTGGTTTCAATAGTAAAATGAAGCTTTTTTACCAGCTTTGCTTTTCTTCCTGTAGTTCTTTGAAGCAGATGAACAGCACAAACGTTTAGAAGCAGAGCTGAGGAGTAGACTGGAGGTTTTGGAAACGGATGCTGCCCAGCACCAAGCTGTGGTGGACAGCTTAACGAAGAAATACACAGAGACCATAGAAAAGCTGCAGAATGATAAAGCCAAATTAGAAGTAAGGAGTTTTTCCTCTTGCTTGCAAGTTTGAAAAGTTTTGAAATGCAATGTCTTGCTGTGTCAGCACTTACATTGTGAGATTATCTTCTTGCATAAAGATCAAGTCTCAGACACTAGAAAGAGAAGCTAAGGACTGTAGGCTTCGAACTGAAGAATGGTAAGTGTCTTTATTTCATATAATGAAAAATTCATTAATGTAAAGAAATAATTGCTGTGAAACATTAACTGGATTATTTTTAAGAATAATACCTTTTTAAAAAGGGATTTAGTTAAAAGACTTTGATAAAACTCTAGTTATATTATCATGAAAACAAGCGTGAGCAACTCAGGACAAGCCCCCTTTTCCTTTGCTATGTATGGAACTAGATAATTCCACAATTTCTGCCTGCAATAAGAACAGTTTTGTCTCCAGGCTTTTTAACTAGCAGTGATGTTGATGAAAACTTGAAGAATTTATTTGTAATGGAAAAACATAGAAACCAAAAACTTGTATGAAACAAACATATGTGAGCTTGTAAAAACTGCTTCTAAGAACAAAGTTTGAGTAACATATGCTGAGAGAACTGACTGTAAAGAGTTTCAGAAATCCCCTTCCACTGCAAAAGCTTCTTGAACAATTGTTTTTGCTTCAGTTATAATATTTTCAGCTAGAATATTTGAAAGTTTTTATCAGAGTTTTAGAATATTTTCATTGTCTTGATGACAAGTTGTAGAAAATGTGAAGTTGAGGAAAATGTGAAGTTGGGCCAAATCAAATTAGGGTGCATTTCGCCGAAGTTCATTGGCTGCATTTTTTATAAGATACATGTGCAGTATAGATCTTTATTGTAATGAATAAGATGTGTAGTAAATGATCAGATGCAGAGTTCCTTCTTTCACATGGTAACCCTGAAGTGTGTATTTTAATTATGTTGATAGATGTGAAATTACTTGAATCAAATAACTCCCCTAATACAAGTCAGAGTTTCACTAAAAATGACTTGCAAAAGAGGATGAAAGCTGTGTTTGGCTGCTGTTTGCTTTTTTTGTGGTGTTTGAAAAACTGTAGTCTTAATCTCCTAATGTTCAGTTCAGGCTTTGTCTATCATGTTTGTGGTGACTGGGTAATTGATGTCATTGTAGGAAGTTGTCCCTACTATTTTCAGTTATACTGTATTAAGTATTTTTAAAAGTAATAAAGCCTGACACTTCATTTTAAACTCTGAAATCACTGCCTGTTGCACACATGGCAGATGTGTCTCTGAGAATACTGCCCTTCTGTTTTCCCTGCTTTGTCAGGGGAAGGGATCCATTTGCCTCTGACACCCACACTTTACTCAGAAAAGCCAGGGGATGTGAGATCTGACAGCCTGCATGCTTTGAAAATTAAAGGGCAGAATGTAAGGCAAAACATGTCAAGCTACTTGTTTGTCAGTCCTCTACAGTATGAAAAGGAAATACCACTACATTTGCAGTTTGTCTTGGAGTTCATTTTCTATCATGCTCAATGCTACTGCATTAGCTGCTGTACAGTTTCTATGCAATTTTGGAGCTGCTCTCCAAGAAAAAGATTTGTTAATGTGCATGAGCTACCTATTGGCCAGTTTCTTCACATCTTCCTTGTCTATTTTGGATTATTTTGCTTTATTGGATCTCATAAGTTTCTCTGCATCAAATGTTGTAAGAAGGGAAAAAAATCCTGTCACTTTGACACCTTCCTTCCCACCCTTCACTATATGTACAGGAGTTCTAGATGTCAAATGGGAAGCAAAACAGTGAAGAATTTGGGGGCCTAAGTTGGGTAAGGTGTGGAATTTAGTCTGAATCAATAATGGAGTGTTCTTTGTAGACATATGTATATAATGTTGGAATATATTACTGTTCATTTCAGGAATCTATTCTCATTATATTAGTAATTTTAATTACATTGGCTCACATGTCAAATGCAAGCAAAGAAAATGTAGAGAAAAATCACTTGAGAATACATCAGAAACATAATTGTCAAGTCTTGTCAGAGCAGGCAGTATCATAGCAGTGTTTAAATATGGGGTTTTGAAAAGCCTTTGAGGTATCTTAAATAGTGATGTGACATAGTTAATTGAATTATTGACAACTCATTACCTGCGTATTGTAAAACTGCACTGGATGCATAGTAACTGTTTTGGAGGCCCTTTTACCCTCCCATCCAAATTCTAGCAGAAAAGAATGCCTTCATATAGCTTATATAATACTTGTACAATAGGAAAATAAGGTAAATTTTAACTCTGAAGTAAATGGAGCTTCTCAAGAATGGAATTTAGGATTTACAAGTTTCTGGTAACTTTCACTGCTTTTGTTAAGGATCAGGAGTCAGTGTTCTGTTAAATATGAGATAAAAGAGGACAAATGACTCCCACTGTATTATTTCTATCTAACTTCTAGAAGGAGACAGATACCTATACACTCAAGGGATGCTTATAGTGACATATGGTGTTGGTGATACAGATGAAATTTTAAAGGTTTACAATGTGTGTGTGTGTGTGGTTTTTCGTTTGTCTCTTTGTTATTTAGCCAGCAACAGCTAAAGAATCTTCAAGCAGCTTTGGGCAGTAGACTGGAAGAATCTCTATGCATAATTAATGAAAAAGTACCTTTTAATGACACAAGTACGTATGCCTTGGTCTGGGTATCTTGTTTGATTTTTTGGGTATCCATCTGGAGGGAGTACTCTATGAATTAAAATGTATTAGCTGTGAGAAATGTTGGACATCTGAACAGACACTTGGAGGTAGCTGTAGTAAGTATTCCTGATACTTGTCATGGTCTTCAGTAATTCTGAAATACCAAGTTTTTATATATATATAATGAAAATTGAAACTTTAGCAGGCTTTTAAGTGATTTGCCACTTGCCTTGCTTAGTGTTTACAGATTATTGTAAACAATGAAGGAACACTGTCAATTTAATGGCTGCTCTATGAAGATTGGTTATTCATTTCAAGGAGTATTATTTTTGGCAGGGTATATTCAAGAGCTGCAGTAAGTTAAGGTGGGGGAAAACTGGTGGCTGCAGAGACAATTGCATCAATAATGGTCTGCACTTACTACTGGTGGGCAATTTGTTGGGGTGTCTCATTGATCAGAAAACAGAGTAGTTCTTATCTGAAGGCTCTCTTAGACTCATTCATTTCTTCATGGGGAAAAAAAGCCCTTTAAACCTGGGGACTTTTACCTGAAGCAGTGTTTTTCTACTTCCTTTCCAACTGCTGCTAGATCAGCTGAACTGCAGAGGATCCCCTGGATGTAGGAGTGCTCAGCCTTTGCATGGCTTTGGTACAAGCATGGGTTAGTATGTGCTGGGTCAGTGCTGTGTGCTTTCCTAAATAGCTGAACACACGGGTGGGCAGGCACTGCCTGGACTCTTCTGGACCCTTCAAGACTAGGAGGACTTGGAATAGTGAAAAAGCGGAAAGTAGTAAAGAAGGAGAAGTGAAAACAGGCTTTCTTATATATTTAATTGGTGGCTTTTGCATTTTTTATTCAGTTTAAAGCCTAATGTTTTTAAAACCTGACAATGTTTTGAGTAGCCTTAGGTTCTCTAAAAGCTGATCTGGCAGGTGCTGCAGGGGTGAGTGTTCCAAGCTCTCCACAGGTTTGGCAATCCAGTAAATCTTGGCTTAGGAACACCAGATTATCATCTCTTTAGGAAGTGTTGACCCCTTACAGCACATCATGCTTAGGTGTTGGTGCCTTGAATTGGTATCCTTTTCCCTTCTCTCACTTTGCCTGGTATCTGCTGCCTATTTCTACTTGTCTGGCTTCTTTAGCTTGCATTTTTTATAGGTGGTTATCATCATAGCAAGAACTTTGCTAAAATAATTTATCTGTTCACTCAGCTACCATAGCATAAGACCTTTGCTTGTGTAGTAGAAAACACTGCAAATAAAGAACATCTCTTTAGTGATAGATGAATGAAAATCAGGAGATGTTTGTTTGCTGTAGATTCCAGCTATCTTTCTATAGACCCCATAGTTGGCTTCAAGTGTAACTAGCAGCTAATTTCAGTAACAAATAAATGACTGCTAAGCCTGATTTCCAGAGTGGAAAAAGTTTTCTGAGGCATTTAGTTAGAAGTAGGATCCAATAATTTTGGACAAGATTTTTTTCCTCTAAATGTAACTATCTCTTCCCATGTATTAATAGCCAAATGTGAATGACACAAAAGGAATAAAAAACTGTACATTTCCTTTGTGAGCAAATTTTAAACTAGCCTGGTCGTGGTTCAGCTGAATTGAGAATGGATGGGATCCCTTTCAAATCTCTAAGGGTTTGTAAGCTGTTCTCTAAGTTTAGCCTTGTGACTGCTTGTAACTGAATAATCATTCTAGTTACTTCGTAACTGGAGAAGAATGCTGAAATACATGGAGAGTACATCTTAGTCTAAATTATCAATATATTAAATGTATATAGGTGCTTTGAGAAATGTTGAAACCATTCAAAAATATATCAGTCTTACTTGGCACCTCCTTGGAATGTAATTGAAATTTGAAGATAGTCTTGAATTCTTTTTGTGATTTCTTTTAAAAGATTTTTTAACTCTTGTTTGTGATGAATATTTTTCTTTGGGCAGGGGAGGCTACTCTTATCTTTCAAATTCAGGGCCTTCAGATGATTAAATTTGACTTACAGTCTGAGGCAAGTATTGAACTGCTTTCCCTCCACTTAATCACAGAAACCCTTAAGTGAGGACGTTTAGGCCTACCTTATTGGAGTCAGTTGTTTGTGTCTCTAGTTAATACTGCTTACATAACCTGTAATATCACTGCATTTTTTTTTAAATCAGTATTTACCAAAAAATATCTCTTAAAACCCCCCACAATTTAACAAGTGCATATAACTCAATTTTTGTCCTGTAGGGTCTACTCGATACAATGCTCTGAATGTACCATTGCACAACAGAAGGAATCAGGTAAGTGCTTCTTGTGGTTTCATGTGACTCTGTGCAGCTTTCTACACAGATATTGAAATTAAACCAGTCATTTTAGTACCTGAAATGGCAGAAGATCACCTGTCTTACTACTGTCATGATGTTCTGAGGGCATTTCTGCCCACAGAGCCTCTGCACTTTTCAAGAGGTTTTGTATATTGTTATGTCAAGGAGTCTAATTCAAGTTGTATGAAATATTCTTTTATTGGGTCAACCTTCAGTAAACTAGAAGTTGGAACATTTCATTTTTAGAATTGATTAAAACTATAGGAGTTCAGAGGTCTTTTATTGAAAAAAAGTAGGTTTGGTATCCTAAATTACTATTCTCTCAAACTGAGCTTCTTCAGTCACATCACTTGAGCTCCAGAGAATGAATGCATTTTTAAGCTGCACACTGGTATGTGCACTAAAATTACGTATTAGTTGACATTACTTGTCACCAGTCACAACCCTTTCAAGGAATAAATCTTTGAGATATCTGCATGGTTCATTTACATTTTGTGGGATACTTCCTGCCAAAGCACCTCTTACTTGCAGCAAAATAACCCTTATATATTTAAACATTTTTAGAAAACATTTTCTGTTCACTACAGAGACTTAATTTAATGAGATTCCTTGTGTATTTTATTTATTCAGTATTCAAAAATGAGCATTGGTTTTCTGTGAATGGCTGAATATTTTAGGAGTTTTTACAATAGCAAATCAGAAACCTGTATGCAGTCAAAATTTTCCTGTGTTGCTATCACTGAGGATGGACTCTACAGCAGTGTGGGTGTTTTTCTGTTTCCCTGTGTGTCTCAAGCATTCAAGTTAGTGCATTTAGATGCTACTGCAGGAAGATTTAAAACAGTTGCTTTCTCCATTCTTCAGAAGTGCTTGTAAAGAGACCTTTTTCCTAATGGCTGCTGTGAGATCAGGTGACCTGCTATTCAGTTTTGTTATGGAAATAGGCTTAAATTTCAGGTTGCTGCTGCTGAGTTCCAAGAAAAATCAGAATAACTGAATGGAGGCTTTCTCCTTTTACTGTTTTCTGCCAGCACTATGTTAGGCAGCCTCGTGCTTCAAGATCTGCAGTCTTGAAAATGTTCCAGGACAGATTTTTATGACTGGCTTTGACAGTGGAGGCAAAATGTTGTTGTATTAGCACAGACTGCAGTGTAAAGGACAGCAAAACAGTAATAGTGTCTGTTTCCCTTCCTTGAATGGCTAATTAACAGACACAAACTGAGTGTAATGACTGCTTTAATTACTTGCCACCATCCCAGATCCATAATCAAGATTGACCTGATTTAACAATCCATTGAAGCATTGAGAGTATGTCTCTGAAGGATAAGTTATTCCTGGCTGAAATGTCACTATAACATTATTCTCTTCCCATAAATCCCAACAGAGAATAGTTTTCTTCTCTCTTGAATTTATGTCCATTCTGGATTAATTTCTTTGATACCTTCCTGCTGTACTAAAGCCACAGAACAGCTGTACTCATGAGCAGCAGTTCAGTTCTGTCCAGGAGAATAAGAATTGAGTGTTCTTGATTAGAGAAGCAAACACCTTTAATTCTGGGAGAAAACATTGGATTTTTACTAATTAAATTGAGGTTTTCTTGCAACCTGGTGTTGAGCTGCTGTCAGCAATTAGTCTGTTGTTCTTTGGAAATTTCAGACATGGTTTCTGTAATTGTGCTGACCTCTTAAGTGTTTTTGTGGCTTGCAAGTTTGAAAAATGCAACAGAGGCAAGCCATCACCAGTTGTGTGAAATAAAAAGATACTTTGTTGTCAAAGAACAATGTGCCCTTCTAAATGGCATTGTAGTTTATGAATAAAAATTAAGTTAAACGTAATTGCTGTTGTTATTATTTCAGTCTAAAATATATAAGAAAGAAAATGCTGGTAATGGCTTTTTGTATCCAAACATTTTTTTTTTAATATTAAATAGATCTATGTGAAATGCAATCATTTTATTACTGTCTTTACAGCTGAAGCTGCGAGACCTTGCTGGCCAGGCCATGGCTTTTGTCCAAGAGCTTGTAACAGCTCTCCTGAACTTCCACACATACACTGAACAGAAGGTACAGATCTTCCCCATTGATTCTGCAACAGACACAATATCACCCTTAAATCAGAAGGTAAAGTTTACACACTTCAGCTTACAAATATATTCAGTTAGTTAGACTTCAATGAGTGATTTCATGCAAACTCGCACTGCCTTTACTGGAATGCTGTGAATGTGTTCCTGAGAGCCAGCCCCTCCTGCATGAGACATCTTTTCTGCTCTGTGAATTCTCTGGTTGTGGGTGAGGTGTAGCTGCAGAGAATCTTTTTCCCCTGTGCCTCTGCTAGAAGAGCAATATGATAATCAAAGCTTTGCTTTTTTTTAATTGCTAAATTGAAACGCATTTGTTGAATGTTCAGCTGACTTGTTTTTAAATAATCACAAATATTGCATTGCTAAATAGAGCTTATTTTAGTTAATGCTTTGAGGCATAGTAGATGTTGAGACAGAATCTGGTCTTGTGTTTAAAGTGTTTAGCTGTAATATTAAATGATAGAAGGTAGGCTTACAAGGGAGATAACCTGCACTCTGTTCCCTTGTCAAAAACAACTTTATAATCTGGTTTTGGGCTGCTTGTGTGAAGATATTTCCTGTAAGTGTTCTGAAGCTTCAGGTTTGTAAAGCATGTTGAAATTAATATGAGAAATCCGATTCATTTCTTTTGACACAATTCCATGGAAAGATTTTTGAGAGTATCATCCAGGGCTGTTAAAGCTGTGTGTTTTGACTTTGTTTTCCTATGCTGTAAAATAGAGAAATAACTGTGCACAAAGATTTGTGTGAGGATGCATATATGTATGCATTAAGATCAGAGTTGACTTCATAGTTTAAGGGGATCTGTGAGTATTTAAATTGCAGGGAGTATTTTGAGATTCAGTCTCTTAATTTCATTTTTGTAGTTGGTAGGGCTCAGACTTAAGGTACTGAGGTAAATTGTGGTTTGCATTGATCAAGTGGCTGCAGTGCATGTGGTGTCAATTTAACTATCACAAAACTTTCCTGTTCTTTGGAAAACCTCTAATAATCTCTTTGCAGGTAAAAAACATGCTTATGAAGGTTGTTATCCACTAGAGAAATCTCCTTCTGTTTGCCTTCTCAGTTGTTTCAACTGTTTTAGTCAAGAATATCCTTCTGCAGAGATTCAGCATATTTTGAGAACATTTTCTTGCTACTGCCACCAAATGCACTCAGAATGGCATGTCCTTGTGAAAATTGTGGTTTTGTCATCTTTCAGATTTTTTGGGGAAGGAGTGGTGTCTCTTTTTTTTTAATGTGGCCCAGTGTCCTAGGGTGCTTTGATGCTTGTATCCCCAATTGCCTGTTCTGTTTGTGCTGGATGTTAAGTTCTGCAGCTTTAAGACTGGTTCCAGGAGTGAAGGGGGAGAGAAGAGGTGCAGAATTTGTTATCAGAGACTGCACTGGCTCCCCCACATCCTTCCCACAGACTGTGCTGTCTGCAGTGGACAGACTGCTTTTAGTTAGTTTTTGACTAGCTGAGGCAGAAAAGTTCCTTGGACTGTTTTTATCTTTTTCTTGGAACGGTTTGAACCTGCTTTGGACTGAAAACCCAGAGGAGCCCTGGGAGCTCACACCTGTGTCTCACCAGGTCTGGCCTGGGCCAGGGCATTCCCCAGCACCGGAGGGACTGAGAGCAGACTGAGTGAGCCGGGCTGCAACCCAGGGAAGGGACTCTGCTGAATCTGTCATCTCTTCGGAGCAGCGAGAGGTTTTGTTGTTTGGTGGTGTTCGTTTTTGTGCTGGGGAATGCTTTGCTTGTTAAATAAACAGGTTTTTCCACTTCTCTCCGAGGAAATCTTTTCCTGAACCGGCTGGGGGAGGGGCCGCTTGAGTCTACTGTCTAGAGGGGTCCCTTTGGAGATTTTCCCCCCAATTTGGCCTAAGCCAGGACAAATATATTAATTTCCACCCTTCAACAGCCCAGATTGGTTTTCCTCTATGCTTCCAATTACCCTTTTTCCACTTCTCCAGCCATCCCCCCAGAGCATTGGCTACCATCCTTAATTCAGTATGGAGCTAGAGCTTTGGCCTCCTCTCTTTCAGCAGTGTCCAGGGCCATCTTACTGCAATGAGCTTTTTCTCCTTAGAGTCATCATGGCACTTCTCTTTCAGGTATTTCCCTACCTCAGCTGGGTTCTATATTTATTAATGTGGAAAGTCCCAGGGTATAGGGTCAGAAAATTCCTTCAGGGTTTGGCCCATATCCTCCCATTCTCCACACCACTCAGAATTTTCCACACCTGGGTCTACTCCTGGGTCAGGGATCTCATCAGCTCCTCTGGTAATCTCAGCCTCATTCTAGACAAACTGCAGACCATAGAGTAAACTTACCAGATTAAATACCAGGAAGGTGGTATCTTTAACATTCAGGGGAAACTGAGCATTCTCAAAAGGTGATATAACAGATTCAAAGGAGAAGAAGGAAAGGAAAGGCTGAAAAGCTTGATCCCCTGCTCCTTCTCTAACAAACTGGGTGCAATTACTAATAAACTCCTGAAACATACTACTGGAACTGCGATGCAGAGTAGGATGAAGAAACTAGAACAAACTCCAGTACCTTTATGAACTTTCTATAAGTCATTGTAACCAAGCCCAGCACAATAGCTAGTCCAAGACATGCCCCTCTGCTGTAAAAGCTATGTGTTAGGGACAATACTGGAGCTATCTCCAGATAAGAAAATAAGCCTAGAGACCAGAAAGGTATTAAAACCTCAAAAAAGCCTAGGGACCAGACACACATGAAGGCCTCCAACCCGAGAGACATGAATTCAAGCAACATAGCTACTGACTGCTTTGCCCCAGTACAGAGTAATTACCAAAATGCAATCAGGACAGGTTTTTCCCACTTTTTTGAGTCCTATATTGGGTTCCAATTATGTGTTTGTCCTGGTTTAGGGGAAATTCAGGAGAAAACCTCCAAAGGGGCCCCTCCCCCAACTGGTTTGGGAAAAGATTTCCTCGGAGAGAAGTGGAAAAAATTTATTTATTTTTTTTTAATAAGTGTTTATTTAACAGGCAAAGCGTTCCCCAGCACAAAAAAATGAACAACACCAAACCACAAATCCTCTCTGCTCCAAAGAGATGACAGATCAGAAGAGTCCCTTCCGTGGGGTGCAGCCTGGCTTGCTCAGGTTCTCCTGGAACCAGTCTTAAAGCTGCAGAACTTAACATCCAGCACAAACAGAACTGGCAGCTGGGGATACAAGCATCATAAAGTCCCCCTAGGACACCCAGTGTGATGACTGCATTCGCAGTTACTACTGCAGTTTACACTGAAGCAATAAAATCAGATTTCCTAGACATCTCTTCTCACAGATTTTTTTCCCCCCGACCTCCTAATTAACATATCGTTGTTTTTCAACATAGCTGAAATATGCAGCTTACTCAGAACCATAATTTCATTTTCCTTTTCTTATAATTGACTCTGATTCAGCAGTTCAGGCTTTGTTTTCATAATTATGTCTCTTGTAGTCTGCCCCATTGTGTATTCATGACCTAATTCCCTCAATGCATGCTACTTCTCAGGGCTTTTGCTGTGACTTTCCAGCACTGATGCATCTTTTATGGCTCACTGAAGCTGTAGTTACTCCTGTATTTTTGATTAATTTATCTCTTTGCTTTGCAAGTGTTCTCAGTGTGATTTTTTAAAAAAAATTTTGTTTGACTGCTCTACCAAGTTGTTCAAAAACCTCCCCTTAATATGGTAGAGAAAATGAAACAAGTGTCAGGTAGTAGCTTAGCAGACTTGCACTGATTTATTTTTCCCCAACTCCAGGTCTTGTCTGGTGCTTTCAAGCTATTTTCCCCACCAAACACTCAAAGTAGATGTGGACAATTCCTTTCCAGGTTCAAGTATTCCTTTTCTCTTTAAGTGTTGGATTGCTGGGTTCTGCTGGGTCTACAGCATCATGCTGGATAATTCAAGTCCTCTTTCTTGCAACACAAACCAGGAGCATTCTGCATGCGTTATTTCTTCCTCCTTAGATTTAGGAATGTTCCCTAATTCCATCCAGGTTTGTGCATGCATGGGTCAGAGCTTAGCATCTCACTCTTCTTGTAAACACTGTGTTACAGAGCTGTAATAATATAAGGAACAATTAAAATCTCTTGCACTCTGTTTGCCTGGGATCTTTAGCTGCTCTTGTGGTGTAAATAATCAAAGGTGAAGGTAGCTTTCTGTGGGGTAAAATAAAAACCAGGATTGCTTTTTGACTATCTGTGTTAATTTGTGGAAGAAGCTTTTTATGATACTGAGGTACCAAAATGGAAAGCTGATGGTGTTGTTACATTTTGGTTGTATGTAAGAGTACACCTTATGTTCTCAGGTCTGCTTTTTTGAAGGAAAAATTAACTATAGGATTTAATTAAGAAATTTTTAGCAAAGTCAGGCAGGTCCATGAGGCTAAAATTTCATTATTGCTGAAAGCCATCATAGTTTTCGAAGTAAGAGTTCTCCTGTGATCAGTTGGAGTTCCATGCTTTGCATTAGCAAAAGTATGCTTTGACTTGTGTTGAAAACTGGACTGGACACAGATACAGACACATATCTTGCTCTCATATTGACTTGGGTTTAGTTCTTCAGTACTTTGCACAGCATAGCTCTGCAAATGTTTGTGCTGATGGACAAGACTGGGAGGCAAACAACTTTTGGGAGGAAGGTGGGATAGTTTATTCTGGTCGCTAAATGGTGCATGGATCTAGCCTTAATTGGATGGAGCTGAGAAAGGAATGCAAGAATATTTAAACCTAAAAAGCGAGGATTTGATGTGCTGTGCATGGCAGTTAAAATGAGACAGAATGCTGTGGTAAAGCCCTAAGTGTGGTTTTGCCTGGACTTCCAGTACTTCTCACTTTCCTTCAACGTGTGTTTTTGCCCTATGCAAGAGGTTGCTGTATATCACTGGACTGTTGTATCTCATTAATGACATCTTAGGCATTGTTAAGGGGGACAGAGGCTTTGCCAAAATGTCCCGTTCAGTTGTTACCTTGGCAGAGTTCACACGAGCTGTCAGCAAGCGCCATTTCAAAACCTCTCTGTCCTCAGTTCTCACAGTATCTCCATGAAAACGCTTCCTATGTTCGCCCTCTGGAGGAAGGAATGCTGCACTTGTTTGAGAGCATCACGGAGGATACTGTGACAGTCCTGGTAAGATTTCCTCCTTTTAGTATCCAAAAACATTTTTGCAGAGCAAAAACACTTACCTGTTGTTTTTCCTTTCAGGAAACGACTGTGAAATTGAAGGCCTTCTCAGAACATTTAGCTTCCTACTTAGGCTTTTTAAGAAAGATTCTTCCTTATCAGTTAAAAAGGTACCTTTCATTTGGTAGATCAAATTTAAAGGCACTGTGTCAGTCATGCAGCATTGTCAGCACCTAAAACTCAAATATTAAGTCAAACCTTAAAACACTCTGGCCTCTGCTCCGTCTTAAAAGGCTGAACTATTTTTTTTTTTGCATGTTATTTTCTAAACCTTGAGATTAGGCATGGCTTTTTGAGGTATTAGGACTAAAAACATGTATTTTAAAGCCCCTTCACACACACCCTCCCTCGCAGATGAGACTTTAAAAATAACGAAGCTTTCACTAATGTTTCTTAGTGTTATTCAATAGCATTGGTACTATTCATGTGTGATATACTGAAACTGTTAATGCCTTGAGCCTCCCTGAGGGTAATTCATCATTCAGTAAATGTAGCACTATAGTAAAACTTGGTCAGTTGTGCATCCCTTCTGCTGTGAAAATCTTTGTTCCTGAGTTGATTGAAGGGAGGTGAATTTTAGGTGTAAAGAACTACTTTAAGAGAGGGTTTGGACTAAGGAAGAAGAAAAACCTTGATTTATGCCTCCGTTATACCTGTTCACATGCTCCTTAGGAAGCAAAAAAGAATTTATGTAGTAGAGGGAAAAGTCTTCAAACTTAAATTGCTGCAATCAGTTCCTTGCTGTGAGAATAAGTCATTCCTGGCTTGTGACAGAAACACCTAGGAGTGGAGATGCACACAGTAATTTTCATGCATTACTAAGTGCCTCTGCTATGTTAGCCTGTCTAAAATAAATTCCTGGTCTGCTGTTGCTTTGGACTGGGGAGGTAGAGAACACATATGTGCTCCAAAACTCATGAACTTGTTTTTTTTAAGACAATTGCTTGCTTTTAAAAAAATAATTCATATATTCCTAGTTTGGAAGAAGAGTGTGAGTCTTCTCTTTGCACAGCTGCTTTAAGAGCTAGAAATATGGAGCTGCACAGAGACATGAAAAGGTTGACTGCAGTCTTTGAGAAGCTACACACGTACGTCAGTCTTCTGGCCTTACCAAGTAAGTGTCTTGGTTGGTTACCCTGTGACTGGTTTTCTGTGGGTTTTTATAGTATGATTGACAGTGTGCCTTTTGTCACCTCTTAATTATGAAATTATTAATAAACTACATTTTATTACTAATTATCACTTCCAGCCCCTCATCTTCGTAAGATTATTACAACTGTCATGGTAATGAGGTATAGCCTCATAAAATGAGGTAAAACCTTTGTGTGTATGTGTGTGGGGAACTATCTCCAAATGCATCCTGTAAATAGCAGTAGGAAATGGTTATTGTATAGCTTCAAGATATTTCAGTCTTCACTCTTTAGAAAGGCCTAGATGATGTTTCTTACAGCTGTGAACATATCTTTCTGTATGTATGTCTATTTTGTATTTTCATAGCATATGTATGATATGAAAAGATACTTCATATCTTTTTGAGACCAAAACAATTGATATTTATGAAATCTGAATAAAAATTAGGGAACTTGAAAGTCTTTAACCTGCCTGTTCTGACAAAATTGGATTATGTATATTTGATATTGAAGGGGAAATTTAAGTAAAAGAATCTATTCCAATGCATACTCCATACAAATGGGTCTAGTAGGTGGAAACTGAATTATTTTCAAAGCTAACTTTTTTTAATTCATGGTCAAATCTTAGTGTTGTGGTTTTCTTTTCCTTCCTATGTGTTACTCTTAGGTACAAGACCAGAAGGACTCCTTAGGACAAATTACAACTTTGTGTTTACAAACATTGCTGCAAGTCTTCATGGATTCCATGACATTTTAAAAGGTGATAGTTGGGAATGTTGTCTTGTTTCAGCTTTGCTTCTTTCTTGTTTAGCATAGCAAATGTGCACTTTCTCTCTAACAGTGCTGAATGTGATAAATCTGGTATGTGATAAATCTGGTTTGTTTTACCTTTACAAGCTAAGAACTAATAAATAAAGAAATAATCCATAGAGACGAACTGAACTTTTACTAGTCATCTGTTTAAACATTAAATTTTCATAATTTTAAGCAAAATTGGGTTTTTTCCCAAAATAGCAAAATATGGCCCTACTTTGTAGAGTCATTGTTTTAAAGAAAAAAGAGGAGATACTAAAGATTTTACACACAATGAGACCCTAAACCAAGAGTTGTAGCATAGATAAGTTTAAAATGCTTTCTACCTCTTAGTATGGTCACTATAATGTAAAGTCAATCCAACTTACACTTTAAAGGTAATGCAGAAAATAGAAGTAATGAAGAAGCCTGTCAGTAGAATTCATTAGCTATCAACAGAAATATTCTTCTTAAAATCTCACACTCAAACTCCAGAATGTTTGATTTCTCTCTTCTTTCTCAATCACAACTAACTTTGAACTTCTTAAGATTACTTCAGATTACAGTTTGTGGTGGTGATGAGCTGGGATTTCTCCATAGCAATAGTACTCCCTTTTAAAATTGGTGCACATTGTTCACTTGTCAGGCAACTACTTTTTCTTTTAATTGGGCCACATTGAGAATGTTCTTGCATGATAAATACTTGATTCTTTTTAAATTTTGGTGTTGTTGAAATTAATATATTTAGGTTAAGATGCTTTTGTGCGTGACTTTCAAAAAGTTTTGTATTCTTAATTTGCCATAAATGTGCTTTTCATTTTCCAGATATTTCCAAGCATTATAGTCAGAAAGCTTCTTTAGAACAGGAAGTTCCAACTGCCACACAGAAACTCATAACTACAAATGACTGTATTTTATCCTCTGTTGCTGCTTTAACAAATGGAGCGGGCAAGGTAATGGCTATTTTTGTTTCAAACAGTGCCTTCACTTGTGCAGATTTTTAAGAAAGAAAACTAAACTTAGCTGAATGATTTAGAAAATCTTTGTGTGCCTCTGATATTAATAATCTGTAGTGACAGGTTGATTCTTGTGTTATCTTCAGGCTATGAGTTAAAAACAACTGAGTGAGTGATAAAAGTAGATACTGTGAAGAGGATGCTTTGTTTCAGGAAGGTTTAAGTTACATGGAGCCTGTAGCTTGTTTCAAAGTCTTGTTAAGAAGTCCAGTTTCACTAAATACTTGTCTTTTGAAAGACTGATTGCTCGAATGGCTCTTTCTGGTCAACTAAATTCTAAAAGCCATTTCTCTTGATGTGTCTAGATGGCCTCGTTCTTTAGCAACAACTTGGATCACTTCACCACCTCGTTGAGCTATGGCCCCAAGGGAGGAGCAGAGTTTATCAGCCCTCTCTCAGCTGAGTGCATGCTGCAGTACAAGAAGAAGGCAGCTGCTTACGTCAAGTCCTTGAAGAAGGTTTGTTCAGCCAGCATGCTTGCACAGAGAGCACCCGGTTCTCTTGATAGTTGGTTGTGCCAGGGAGAATACAAACTAAGGATTTGCAGTGTTTAGAATGGAAGAGACTCTCTGGATATGACAGGTTTTGGCTGAGGAAATGGACCCCTCAGTGCAGTAATGCTACTGAAAACTTGAGACAGTGTAATTGCCCTTACAACTGAGGGTATGTGGCAATTCTGCCATTACCCATTTCCACTAATTATTTCTGTGCCAAGACTCCAAGGAGAAGGAGGTGGCTGCTTATTTATATTTCCTCCTGTATTCACCAGGAATATGGAGCAAATGAAACCATATTCTTAGAGTTGCATTCACTGGAAGACATAAGGGAAAAAAAAAAGGAAGTATCCTGGAGAAAATGTGCTGAACCAAAGGGTTGAATGCTGTCACATCTCCCTGTTGCCTCCATTAAAATTAACAATTAAGCAATTAAAATTAACAATTAAGCTTAGCAGTTGTTACTAAATCACTTATTGCAATGTCCGTAAAGAGGATCTTAGATGCCTCTGATCATTAATTAACACTTGGAGTTTTCTGAGCACTTTTTAATCAACTGTATCTTTTGGGGCATTATTTCTGGAGAGCTCAAACTGATTTTACCTACTGCCCAGTAAGCACTTGGAACATGGGGTTTTCCCTTTACTAAAATGTCGAGATTTTCATGGGTTTAGGTCTTCAAAGAAACAAGAGCAGTTGTTTGTTGCTGTACAATTGTTTATTGTAGAAGCACATCAGTCTCAAAGGCAGAGTCCAGATTATCAAAGTCTGTGTTAAAGCTTTCTAGCATAGAGTCCTGGACAGAGACAGGAGCAGCAGCTCCCTGGTACAGAGTCCTGAGCAAAGGTGCAGCTCCCTGGTGTTTCTTCTTCTGTTCTTCTCCTCTTGTTCTTCCTCTTCTTCTTCTATATGTGGTGGTAGTGATGATGATGATGGTAGAGGATGCCTTTTCCACCCCAATACAGGGGATTTTTATTTGTAAATAATCCAATGAGCTAGAAACATGAACCAAAAATATTCCTTCTAAACCTATTAGAATTATATCTCTATAGTATGAAAGTAGTGTTAATTCTTACACATAAATGACACATATAGTTCTATCTATTCATGCAAATGGTTCTATCTGTTCTGTCTAAAAAATGTAAGAAATGTTTTTACTATGTTTGCATTATGTCTGGGGCTAAGGTTTTGAACTTTTACTGTGGCCTAAATTTGGCACTACTTTTTAGGGCTTTTTACTCTCTTAAGGCACTTAAAGCATATTCTCACTTACTTAAAAGGTAAACTTCTGCTTCATATCTATGTGACATAATAGTATTCCTACTTACTTAAAACTAAAACTTCTACTTCATGTCTGTGTGGCTTAATAGACTTTAATTTCTCCAAGGGTTTTAATTCAATCCCTACATTCTGATTTCTGTCTGAGGGACTCAGAGAGGCTTCTGTTTTACACACTCCAACACTAAAGTAAAGTAGTAACACTAAAGGAAAGTATTAAGAAAATAGAAGTAGAATACCTGTTCTGATCTAGTGTGTAACATGTTTTGAGAGGGGTTTTTTGATTCTTCTGCAGCCTTGTGCAGATTCAGTGCCTTATGAAGAGGCTTTAGCCAATCGCAGAGTTCTCCTGAGTTCTACAGAAAGCAGGGAAGGTCTTGCACAACAGGTATTGTGGTATATGTTGTACTAACATACATGTTAGTGTAGTTTGTAAAGGTAAACTTGTATCAACGTCTCCACATTTATGTGTGTGGTCATTTATAGGTATGAATAAATATGCTGAACCTTAAAATTAGACTGTAGATGTCTTGTAGAGTTTTGAAAGTAAAACCCTTGTCAGGCTGGGTTGTCTGTAGAATGTATGTGTAGATAGATATAGGAGCCAGGATTATGCCATTGATACCTTCATTTGGAAATACAAGAAGTCAGGTAATCTTTAATAATTAAAATAAATGCAAAATAAAGACAGGAATAAGACATACTGAAGGATTAATTTTTAGTGTTGTGTACTGATTTGAGTCCTCTTTTGGACTATGCAGGAATTATTAGCACTGATTAAGAGCAGGGATTTTTCTTTTCAGTTAGGGTAATAGATTGGAGTTTCTATCTTTCATTATGCATATATATATTATTTTTTTCTGAAGCAGGGTGGGTAACATGGTGTTTAAAAGACCTAAACAGTTTATCCATTGCCTCATATGAATGAGAGTAACTTATTAATACTGACCCTTACTTATTAGCTTGTATACTCAGCCTGTGCTTGACACATTGTTATTAAACTGTTACAGAAGCAAACACTTCAATTATTTGTTTTTTTGTAGCCGCCAATACTCTAAGTATATTAGTAGGAGGGAAATGAATTTCAGCAGAAATGTGCAGTGATTGGATGTATTCTGTTCATAGTTGTTTTCTTAGCTGGACAAAGTGGGTGGTTCTGTCTGTGTGAGGTGGGGCAGCTGGAAAGGGACAGTTTGTCTTTCTAGTGTAGGAAAAGGTAGTGATAGTGTCAGATACACATCTTTCAAGTTTTTATAAGATTCTCCCCTGCTTTAGTGTTTCACCTAGTACAATGTTACCAGTTTTATGAGCTGTGCATGCTTCAAACTAATTAAATTGTGTGGCCATTTTGGACAAAGAGCCACAGCTAAACACGCAGCTCAAAACAGTGGTTGTTTACCTGCTACACTTTGTTAGCTCACTTATGTAAGGGTTTGAAATAATACTGTCCTCAAACATTTCCTGTGTGTGGTTTTTTTCCTCCCTGGGTTCAGTAACCTGGACTGTAAACTTTACCTCCTAAAGGTCCAGCAGAGTTTGGAGAAAATTGCAAAACTTGAACAAGAAAAGGAACACTGGATGTTGGAGGCCCAACTAGCTAAAATAAAGCTAGAGAAAGAAAACCAAAAACTGAAGAACTCTCTTAGTGGACATTTAACTGAAACTATCCAAGAACGTTCAGTTTTGCCAAATATAGCAGAACAAAAGAAGGAAACCACAGAAAAGAGTCTGAAGGAACCTATTAAGAGCACTAGTCTGGTAAGTGACCTATCCCTTCAATAGAGAAAAATCCACTTTCTTTAGTAGCAGTGCTGTTTGATCAGTGGAACACTGAAAAGGAAAGCCTTTTGACTGTATTGAAAAGCATTCACTCTTGGGGTCCTTGTATTTGCAAAGCTGCTTGCAAATTCTTTCTGCAGAATTTGGCACTTCTTGGATTTGGAGACTTTGTTTGCTGTCTTTAGTATTGTGAAGGTATTCTTGTAGTTCTGTTCTTGTGTAACTGAGGGGGAAATAATAGGTGCTTAACCTACTGGTTTGTCTGTAGTTAGAAAACTTTGCAAGTGTTGTGTATCTCAGGTTGGGCCTGTGTTTCCATCACTTTTGTTCATCTCTAGGTATATTAAAGCAAATGGAAGTAGGTAGGTAGTGTTTCTAAATGGGTTTGAAGACTTATTAGGGTCAGTTTGGGTTCAGCAATTGCTTTTGGATGTAGCATGCATTCTTTCCTTGCTCTTCTATGTTGGTAAATGGCTTTTTCCTGTTTACTACACATATTTAAAATGAATTGGCCTTTCCTCTGAATTCCACTTCTGAAGTGGCATAGTGGTATTAACAGGAATGTCATCTGTAAGAAATAATAAATCTACTCAGCATTCAAGAGAATTCTCTCTTTTCTTTTTTGTTTGATTTGTGGGGTTTTTTTAGGCTTTTTGGTGATTTTTTTTTCTGTTTTTGTTTTGTCTATTTTTATCTATTTTTGTTTTTCCCACTTCCCTGCTCCAAGATAAAAATAACGAGTGGATTGTTCTGAAATCCCCAGTTTTGAAGTAAACTGGCATCTTAAGTTTTTGATCCTCTACTTGAATCCTTGGGAATTTGAGGAGCATGTTACTCACAGGTCAATATATTGTATGACTATTCCCCATAAATATAAATCTCTAGTCTTGTTGAGATCAAGGGGGGAAAAGCCCCTTTTACTCTCTGTGAAGATATCCTTTCATGAAACCAGGTACTGGCTTACACTGCCCCTGTAGAGTTTTGTCAGTACTTACTAGTCAGAGGGGAGAGGAAGGAATTTGGAAGGTATTTAGGAAATCCAGGTTGACTTTCCTTCCTCTTAAACATGACAAATAATGTTTCAGTGTGCTAATGTGGCTCTGAATTAGTTTCATATGATCAGGCAGTTACATAACCATACGAGCCCAGCTGCATCTTGTTGCTTTTATTGCTTTTTCCCTGTGTACCTCATAAGAGAGAAGATATATTTTTGAGAGTTGGTGTCAGGTTTAATTCTTTTCAAGGCACTCATGTAACCACTCTTGTTTATGTTACAGGTGGAAGTACTTAAATTCTATTTCAGTTTGAACGATTGCAAGATTGTTTAAATTCAAAATCCTTCTATGACTAAAACCAAAATGCAGCTATGGTACCTATTCTTCTGCAGTTATTAATTGTATTTTCTTCCTTGTTCTAGATTGGAATGTTGACTGTAACTACTGATAATGAAAAGGTAATCTGTTTTAAACATTATTAAAGTCCATCTGTTAGATACTTCAATTCTGATTCTGCTAAACTTATTCCACACGTCTAATTACCAAGAATACTCCTGTATAATGGCACAAGTTGACTGTGTAGTCTTTATATACTAAATGGTCAAATTTCTGAATTCCATGTGTTCCTTAATTTTCTTCTTCTGCTAGAGAACTGTTATTTGGCCCATGTAAGCATTTTGGAGCAGTGTGAACTGGAGTCAGGGTCTGCTCTCTGTAATTTGAGGAAGGCACTGGTCTGTCTGTGCCTCAGTAGCCCAAAATGCATTCCAGGCCTCAATTCTTAACCCTCGAGGAAGGGCTCAAGCTGCATAAAAGACTCTGGCTGCAGTGCCTGGGATACAAAGCAGAGGTCACACTGAAACAAGCCTTGAACCAGCCCTTGGACTAAATGTCAACTCTTTATTTTGCCATTCTATAATGTAACACTTGCTCCAGCAGGAACTTCAGAGAGTAGGATTTGCTGCTTTCCCTTTTCTGATACCACAGGGAACTGATGCGTGGTTTAGTTCACTCCTCCTTGTCTTCTGAAAGTGTGATTAGAGGGGGGTAGGGGGCTAGATGATAACTGATACAAGTTCTTAAAGGCTTCTGCATAGTGCTGAACTTGAAGGTAATGACAAATCATGTGAAAGCTGACTCCAGTGAGTAAGTCTGTAAACTACTGAGTTGTTGGGCTTTATTTTTTCTTTTTAAATTTCTAATGTCTAAAGAAACTTCTGGAACATGCAGCATTAGTAATAATTATGACATTTGTATACTTCTGAAATACAATTAGGTGAAGGAATTCCTTGTTGTGAAGAGACAGTAAGTTTTCATGTAGGTGAAAACTGTTCACTTCTGCAGTAGATTTTCATCTTCATCAGATCCTTGATATATTAAAGCAAGTTAAATTCTTACCTCTTCAGTCAGCTCTTTGTCCTGTAAGGAAATCTGACATTAAGAGTTCCCATCAGGGTGACAAATTGCAGTATGGCCTGCTGTAATTTGTCTGTTATGTTTGGGGAATTAGACACTTTTTGATAGAGCAGCCAGGGCTCAGAAGGAAAGAAGAAAAAGTCTGTATAGAGGCAATGTTGTGATTCAGGTATTCAATCTACTAAACATAAATGTTGTCTGCTTAAATGTGTTTGCCAGGTTCCAGATGTTGAGTCTCGTGAAGACCTGATAAAAACTCACTACATGGCCAGGATAGCAGAGCTGACCTCTCACCTGCAGCTTGCTGACAGCAAATCAGTGCATTTCCATGCTGAGGTGAGCATGCAGGCAATGACAGTAAATCTCTTTTTGAACTTCCCACAGGCAGGTGCTATGATAGTGAGTTTCAATATATGGAGCATAATGTTTTATAAAAATCTGTTCCCTGAATATTTTTTGATTGTGGTCTAGCATGCATAAAAACAGATACTGTAAGAGAACTTTTTATGTTTAATAAATCCTTTGGTAGCCTTGTCTTGGCTGTATTAAGAAGTATAATGTGTGTCATATATAGGTTTGTTCACATAAGCTGAAGCAGCTGGCTTTACTTACCAAGGAAGTTTTGACTTAATTTTATAGTGACGCTGATGTCATTCAGAAATATTTGAGTGTATTATGAAGTGATGGAAACAGCTCTCCTGAGAAAATTCGCTCTTAGGCATAAGTTATGCTGCAAGAATGATCAAGATGATTCATTGCTGTCTTGGTTTGAAAGACAGGTATTTGCTAAGAAAAGGCAAGAGCCCCTTCCCTGAGATGGAGAGTGCAACCCCCTCCCTTCCAGTTATTGTAGTGTTGGAATCAGGGGCTTTCAGGCAAAAGATATGGGAGGTAGGAATAACAGTTCTTTACTAATATATCTAACAAGGCAAACAGCAGAAATAACACCAGCTGTAAAAACTGACAACAAAACAGAACAGTATAACTCAGTTCCAGTCCTTTTTGGCTGCAGACTCCGTGTCTCTGCCCTCAGTTACCGGTGCTGTGGGCAGGGCAGGGCCCGAGCAGCTGAAGGGGCTGGGTGATGGCGGCAGCGGCCCAGGTGTCAGAGGGGTGGAGGAGCGACTCCCCCCTCACGGTGTCGGTCGTGGTGCTCGGCAGAGTGCCCGGAGGTAGTAGGATGAAGTGGAAAGGCAGCAGTGTGATGTCTGACAGCGGGAAAACGTGGCTCCCGGCATTGGGATTGCGGGCAGGGTGGTAGGTAGCAGCACCGGCCGTCTTCCTCCGACTCCAGGAGAGAGGGAGAGAGCAAGCCCCTGCCCCACCTCTCCTTTTCCAGTGTTCCCTCTCTTCCCACCCCGCTGCTGGACAAACTGTTACCCTAGCTAACTGAGCTAGGGTGTAGCCACAAATACTTAGCATAACAATGGGGAAAATTCCACAGAAAGAAAAGGGAAAAAATCTATCCCTAACAATTGTATCTATGTTTTCATTTCAAGTCATGAGAGAACTTTTCTTGAAAGTAGTGGCTGTTTTGATTTGTGTAATAAATGATGTGGAATACACCAAAGCTCCAGGTTAACAGAGAAAAGCCTCTTAAATATATTTTTTTAATGGAAGATGACATAGTATGGAGGAACCATCTTTTCTGCAGTATTTGAGCTTTGTGTGAAGTGAGTTGTTTATATTGCTTTTTACTTATGAAAAGTTTTGTAGCAGCTATGTGAAAAATACAATATTTAGAGGATTTGCAATATGATAGCTCTGAAAAAATTAAACATTTAATGTGAACTCGTCCATTACCTCTGCATTTAAAAATGTGCACAAGCTCTGACTGAGTTTCTTGAAATCCAAGTATCACAGAAAGATGGAAAAGTCCTAAGCAACCACTTAAGGATGCCACAAGGCAATACTCTGGAACTGACTTTTGTTCCTTCTACCCTCCCTATCCTGTTCTTGGTAGTGTCGAGCACTTGCCAAAAGACTTTCTCTGGCAGAGAAGTCCAAGGAATCGCTTACGGAAGAGTTGAAGCTCGCCAGTCAAAACATCACCAGATTACAGGCAAGTAAATTGTTCTGTAATGTAATAGTTGCATTTTGTAATCATGTGTAAGGAGAAGTTGGAGCAGAAAAATTACAACCATCTAGCCTGGCCATGCCATTACTAGGTCCTGAGTTGTGGAATATAAAAAGTCTAATGGTATGTAGACAAGAGCCTTAAATAATGCACTATAAATCCCAGGTATAAAGTTGAAGTGGAACATGCTTCCAAGAAAATGTTATAGTGGCCAAACCTGTGTGTTTTAGCACATTTGACGTCAAAGATTTTCATGAAAATGAGAGAGTTGTAATATCAAAAGGGGTGGTTGTGTAAATAATTTCAGAAATTCTTAATCCCTACTTGCACCTGCGTCTGAAAGTTTTAAAAATGCCAGGTTGATTTGGATTTTTTAACTATAGATACCTTAATACTAAGTAGAGATAGTTTTGGGGTAATCTTTAAGAAGCTGTTGTTAACAAAAATCGACTCTTGTTCCATCCTGTGAGTGTCCTGTCGCTTTGTCTCTATCCACAGAGCTGATAAAGGAGCCAGTACTACAATGAAGTAGAAAGAAATACACAATTCCTTTGTGTTTTCTTAGTTCATATCGTTATTGCTCATCTGTCTGTGATGCTCCATAGAGGAACTCAATTGCTCAATTGCAAAATTTTTCCATACAGGCAGTGAATATAATGTTAGAAGCTTTGAACTATTGTGCCCATGAACAATTTTTTTTAAACACTTTTTTGATTTGTCCCTTTAAAAAATTCCACAGTCGATGTTGAACTCAGCATGAGATGTTAATTTCCAACTGCATATTAAACTTCGTAGGAAAAGATAGCAGGCACACACATTTGTATGTTTAGTAGTCTGCATAATACTGAATAATAGACTTATTTAGGTTGGAAGGATCCTCTGAAGGTGATTTGTCCTCCTCCTTTGGTCAGAGCAGAGAGTTCAGATCAAGCTGTGGAACTGGATATTTCCTATACAGCCATACTGGTTTCTGTCACAGTCACTCCATGTCTTAGGCTTTGGATTGTTCCTCGTTCTGTCCTTGGTGATTCAGCTTTCCTGGGCTCCTGTAACTTCTATGGCAGTTTTACCTGTGACCTTTCCAAACAGACCTTGAAAGAAGCCAGAATCGACTCTTCTTGAGTCTAGGATTGCTGTAGTTCTACTATTTGTCTTGGTTCCCTCAGGATCATGACTTCCACTAACTCATGGTAGCTGGAGCCAAGGCTGCCATTGGCTTACACATCCCTGACCAGCTTACTTGTGAGTAACAGGTCCAGCAGAGAGCATCTCTTGATCCCATTGAATCAAGAAATTCTTTTCCATACTCAAGACAACTCCTCAGTTGCTTGTGTTCCACCTTGCTGCCCTTCAAGGCCATGTCAGAGTAGTTGAAATCCCTTATGGGGATCAGGGTCTGTGGATGGGAGATTTTTATCTGCTTGCAGCAGATGCCTGTCATATCATCCTGTTGTTCTCCTACTTATGAGATTTAATACTCTTCAAGCCATTTCTTCACAGACAGCATGATTTCTTCCCTTCTGTCCTTCCTGAAGTGTGTATATCCCTTCATTGCTATGTTCTACTCATGCACACTATTCCCCCCATGTCTCTGTAATCTCAGAGAGATCATAGCTCTCTCTAGCTGCATGTGGAGTGGGGATTCTCTCAGCTTTGGAGGCCATGTGTGTTCTTGTGCAGGCCATGCTTTAACCCTATAAACACTACTTGTTTCCTGGCTGGAAACAATGGTAAACTTAGCTGTTACTCCTTTTTGTAAGCCATAAAAAGTGGGGGAGAAATCTAAGGAAACAACAAAACTATAGGGAACAAACCATGCATGAGACTTCAGGTAAAAGAAAAGTAGCTGTTGACTTCCTTTCATAAAACTGGTTGGGTTTTTTTAGCTGAATTGCACACACTCAGCATCAAAAGCTTACTAAGTGGAGGTGGAAATGTGCTGCTTTGCCAGGTATCACCAATACTGAGCCAGGGTCTCTGGTTATTTCATTTTTCCCTTAGGATGAATTGATGACAACAAAGAGGAGCTACGAGGACCAGTTAAGCATGATGAGTGACCATCTGTGCAGTATGAATGAAACCTTGACTAAGCAAAGGGAAGAGATTGATACACTAAAGATGGCCAGTAAGGTGAGCTGGCAGTGCTGGCACAGGGCCTTGGCTGCAGCTGGGGGTGTAAGGATTTCATTTGATGTTCCTGCAGTACTGTCCTTGGACAAACAACCTCACAAGCTGTAATTCTTACTCTGAGCCAGTTGGAAAGAAAACTTCAAACTTGCTCCTTTGTTTCAGTGAACCAAAAATTCTTGCAAAACATACATGTGGGAAAGAACAAGCTCTTCATGTCACTGCTTCACATTCTCATAGTGTACCCTCTGATGGCAGATCACTCAATTTTTTTGTTTAAACTTGGTGAAAATGGAACTATTTGCAAATCCAGCTGGTGAGGCTGGGTGATTATGATTAAGTTCTGGGTAGAAGTGTCCCTTCTGCACTCCTTTTGGTTGCAGCATACTCTGTCCTTGGCAGCTGGTCTCTTTCTCTGTTTTATTTCCATATTCTAGATTGTCTGTCCCTTGTGTAGGAATGAAAAATTTGCCACTCGTATTCTTCTGTGAACTTGAAATGAGCACTTAAATTCTTTACTGGGAAAGGAGTCTACCCACTTGTGAGAAACAAATTTTTAACTTACCTAATGATGAAAAATACAGAAGTCTGCTTTTTTGAGCAACCAGTGATTAAACCATGGTATATCCTATTGTGATGCTTCTAGTGAAGAACAGATGTTGTGAAAGCCTTTGCCCTTTGCTTGTCTGACTGTGAAACAAATAAATTACCATTATTCTCCTTAATTGTGGGATGCATGGAAGCAGGTATCACTGAAGGAATAAAAAAAAAAAGAATAATTTAAAAAATCCATGTTCTGATTAAAGATCCCATTATGGTGATTTTTATTTTTTTAGAGTAAATTCTTCTCCCCACTTTTCAGATTGGAGTGTTTTAACTTGGTATTGTATTCTTTAAAATAACTTTGTGGTGTATAAGCCCTTGTGTTTCCAGAAGGAAGCTCTTGGCCGCATACTGACCAAAGCATTTAATGTTTTTATAAAATGTTTTCTGGAATTTCTCACTTGCCATTCTTCTAAGACTTCTAAAACTTCAATCTGTCTGTAAAGACCTCAGAATCTCACAACAGAAGCTACACACGTTTTCAAATGTTACCAAATGTAGAAGGGGATGCAGTTGAAATCCAAATTATGCAGTTAAAGCCCTTATCACTTAGAGAGAGTTGTTAGTTAGATTCAAAACAAATGTTATCTTCAGGAAATAGGAAGACTGAGAATTGCCAGAAAGTAACTATTGCACAAAACTTTATTTTAAGCTCCACATTTCCTTTCTGGAATTACTGCAGGTCAAATGTGAGTTGGCTAGCTGTGGAACAAACTCTCTTCTGAACTAGGAATAATCTGTACAACCTGAATTAAAATAAAATCAGTTTTATAAAAAACCCAACAGTATGATGGGGGATTGATTTTTAATTTGATGCAATTATTCTATGAGAAGTTATTTGGAGTACCATCTGAAGGTGGATTATGATTTGACTTGCCTTCACTGCCCTTTCAATGTTAGTGATAATTAATACAATTGAATGTCTTGGGGTGTTCCTCAAATGTCTTTCACAGGTTTCAGTTGTAGTAAGGAACTGTTGTGCTTATTTGAGATACCTGGTACTTGCCTCTGCTGTGCTTATAGAAATAGAGGAATTTTCAGAGCAAATGATTACAATCTGTCAAAAATTAGAAGTCTGTGAACTGTGTATTTTCAGTCTGACTGTACCTTATTTGCTGTAAGCATGAATTATCAGACATCAAATTTTGTATGTTACCTGTCTAGATTTCCTTACTTGAATGATAACATTCTCTTTGCTTGTTTCTTCTTGCAGGGAAATTCTAAAAAGAACAAAAATCGATAGTTTACAGCTGAGTCTTTGGAAGCTGCTGCTGCACAGGATGCAGATAGTGACCATTCATTATCCAGTTCCTGTTTGTTCCAGGAGGCAGAGGCTGGTATTGGGTCTAGTAAAAACTGAATTGGTGCTGTAAATGGCTTTAAAATATTTAGAACTTGTAACAGATAAAACAGAACTTAATGTTGGCTCTAAACCAGGAAATGCACATTCTGTGGATAATTTATATAGTAATTACCTTCAGTTTTTACTGTGCACTTTTTAAAACCAGGTTTTGATTTCATGTAACAACTTCAGATTTTGTATATTTTCAAATATGTTTCTGCATTAACAAATTTGGATTGGTGCAGTAAGTGTCTATTTTTGAGTTCTACATTTAATGGTCAGCACATGTACATTCCATTACTTGTTAATAACAGTTTAAAAATGAGTTTGGAGATTTTTTTTGGCCATGCAAGCTGTGCAGTTACTGTAAATGTATTACTCCTGTTCTCAGCCCATTAGAATTAATCAGAATTGTGGCTTGAAATGATTTTTACGAATTCACCAAGTAAATGGGATCATTGTTAGACTGCAACAGTGGAAACCTTTCCTGCTTGTATTTGGCACTTTTTGAGGTAAAGAGCATAAATAGCTGAATTGGGCTACTTCAATGAAATTGCTTTAAGCCATTTCTATAACATTTTGTTTACACATGTATGTATATATATATTGGTTGAAATAGCTGTTTAAGGCTAGAGGAAACTGTGATTGTCATTTGCCCCAACAGAGTGAAACAATGTGTGTAGAATAGATCAGCTTACTGTGCTCTCTTACAGTAAAGAAGAATATGAAATACGTAGAACATTTAAACACTGAATTTGCAAAAGGGCTTCATGGAATTAAGTTGTGGTGGATTCACTGTGGGGATGCACATGGCTTTTCCTGTGTTCAGAAGTTTGTGAACTTTAGGCCTCTCCTAAGATTTTTTTTTTTTTTAATTTTTTTTTCAAGTGAAGTTGCGTATCACAAGTTTTCATGGCATTGATTTGTTGTTGGAGGGTGGGATTGGGTTTGGTTTTTTGGTTGTGTTTTTTTGGTTGTGTTTTTTTTCTTTTTAATCAGATGCTGTGCTGCTTCACACTTTCCACATCAATCTTCTGTTCCATAATTCCCATTATGGCACTTATTTGTCCCACAGGGGTTTACTCTGATATCAGATGTGTTGAAATGTATTACCAGTATGTAATAATAAAATCAACCACATGAAACCAGCTTGATGTTTTCCTTACTTCTGGCTATGCCCGGGCTGCAGAGTGTGACATTGTGGTGGGGTGTTCCAGCTTTTGCTGATGTTGTTACACCAGTCTAGGTGCTCTCAGTGCTTCTCTTTGTTCTGATAGGTTTTCCTTTCAGAAATGCAAAATAGAAGTGGTTGTGAAAGTGAGAGGAAATGGGGAGAGCCTGCAGGGTTTCTTATTGATGTTGAATTAAGAACTATGTGCTGGTGCTAATGAGGGTTGGGAAGTGTTGGCTTTCTCTCCAGCCATTTTATGGAAGCAGATACAGCTTCAACTGTTTCATTTAGGGTTGGGAAGCTAATTGCTTTCTTCCAATTCTTTTGAAGCTGCCTTTTCTGAGAACTTTCGTCTTGCACTGAAGGTACTAATCCAGTTATTTTAATTCTCGGAATCAAATTGCTGAACTGATACTACTTTTGCTGATACTATTTTTCATAGGTTGTTGCATTCAGAAAAGGATTTTGCTTAGGCCATTTTTTGCATGTCTGAATAAAAACAGTGTGTGTTTAGAATTTGCATTAAAAAAATCAAATGCGTGTTCAGAGTATACCCCAATGTCCAAGCTGAAATTCATGTAGAATGTATAGGCATTTATGTACAATTCCAATGTACATCAGTTTATCAGCATTTTTGCTTTGCAGTGTTATTCAGGAATGTATCTGGGTGTCCCCCTCACCAAGCAATAACCATGCTCAAGAAGAGACAATTCTGGTCACTTATGCTGCCTTCAGGTTTTCAAGGAAATCTTTTGATTAAGTTCTAGACAACTGTAAACTATCAATACCCAAAAATAAAATCTGGCAAAAGAAATTTAAATCGGTGTTTTGGATACTGCTGTAGTAGTGTTGTAGGGGGCCACGGGATATTGCATTTAACTCAGTGGCATTAGAAATTGGATCAGGTGGAAATACCAACTCCTTGTTACCTGCTAACCAGGTGATGCTGAATCTTTCTCAATATCTCAAATGCTGTTAAATGTCTAAATGGTTAGTGCACAAGGCTTTGCTATTAAAAAACTGAAGACTTGTTTTAACATTGCAGCCAAAAATCTTTGAGGCAAAGTTTGCCAGAAAAATTATTTTGAACTACTTTGTTTGCAATGGTATATGCAGAGCATCATGGAATGTGCAAAATCTGGGCAAGGAAGTTTTACTAATAGAACTAATCTTCAAAAATGTACAATGTGAATGTTTGCCTTCTAGGTGGTTAATTGGGGAAACCAGTGAAAAAGTTTTGTAAAGTGTAAAAGCCTTTAGCACATTACAGTGTAAAACCAGGGTTAAAGAAAATCCCGGATGTCAGTTACCTTTTTAATGACAGTTGACTATGACACACAAGTTTTTAAAGCATTTTTTGAGTGCTTAATTCATTTCTCCGTAACGTTGGGTGCCCCATGAATAATCTCTCACTCTCAGGCTTAAGTGGTTAATTCAGAAAACAGCACTATTTTAATGGTTTTAATTGGATTTAAAAAAAAATCTTCCTGAGCTTTGTTTCAAAGTTATACTAACATGTTCAAGGCTTTTAAAATGTTCAGCTGTCCTAGATTTCTGAAAGCACATCCCCAGTACCTATTGTGTGTGTACAAAATAAATATTTGTTGTAATCAGGCATTAATTTAACTTCAAGATTGCCCTCTTAAGAACCACTGCTTCATCAATTTGAAACTGCCCAAGAAGCACCAAAGCCATGGTCCATTTTAAAAGGCCTTAAACTCTTAGAGGTCACAGATTCCCCCGCCTGAAAGCTTAACTTCTAAAACGGGGATCTTAGGCTGTCGTCATAAGCTGTGTAAGGGTGCATGTCATTGCTGTTTGAATGATGATTATTTTTAATTGTTACATCTGTAATTTAAACAGCAATCAGCTGAAGTGTTTGTTTATCAATGGATGTAAAGTACCCAGGCTGGAACAGGTTTTTTTACTACCTTTGGCTGTTTATATGGTTATTTTCCCTTTTTCCCAAGCCACCTTCATTTCTAATTTGTATTTATAATCCTGCTGCTTCACCTGCCCTACCTTCCCTCGCTGGCAGATGAAGTTTTGGTGTGAAGGTCTTTGGTCCAGGGGCTCCAAAAACCAGATTTGCTCTGACATGCAAGGCAATTAGAAACAGGAAAGGAAATAAACTTTGTATCCATGTAGTGCCTATCAGGAGAATGGAGAAGTTATTTACTGGCTTGGCTGAGCAGTGTCAAGGCTGTGGGGATTTTTTTATTAGTGTAAATCCAATGATATATTAAACTTTGGAGAACCATCTGGCCCTGTAAATTGGGCAAACCTCTTGTTTAATACAGTCTGTATGTAAGGTAATTTGAGAGCACTATCTTAGCAACAGCAGGGTCATAATAAAAACAAAGCTTAGTGCAGTAAAAAATTGTAATTGCTGCCAGAGGCCTGATTACTTCCTCCCACGAAGGCTGGATGCTGCTCTAGGAATGCATGTTCTGTCTTGGCATTTTCTCCTCTGTCACTACCTGCAGTATTGCTTAGCTGTGAATTCAAACCACGTTTGTTTAGAAGAGGCTATTTTTGCCCAAATTCCCGAATATTTATTTTAATCACAGAGTTAAAAACTTCCTTTAAGTGCAGTTGTGCCTGCAGTGCTGCCAGCTTGGTTACAGAGGGAGACAGAGAAGAGTTTGGGGGGACCTTTGTAAAGCAGGGCCTGAGCTGGGCTGTGAACTGGAGCCCATGGAAACTTGCCTGGGGCAGCTCTCATTGTCTGCCTCTGCTGTGTGTGGAGGCAGCTTTAGACACGTCAGGGCTCATTCAGAATCACCCAGCTCCTTACAGAGGCAAAGACTCGCATTCTGCAATGCTGAGCTGCGAAAAAACAACTCTGTGATTCTCCTTGGGCTTAGTTTGCAGGGCAAGACACCCCACTACCAGCCCTAAAAAGAACTCTCGTTATGAACTTCTTCCATGGGAATTGCAGAGATAGCATAATAGTAGAAAGCATAATTTATCTGTTTCAGCACTGATTCACCGTGTGAGTCCAAAACTTTCTAAACTGATGAGGTCTTAACTAATGAAGAAGCCTTTGAATCCCAGGCCTGCTGTGAAAACTGTAGTTATGATCTCCCATAAACATCATGGCTTTGTCCTGAGAAGTTAAACCCATAAAGCTCAAGAGTCCAGGTAGTTTCCAGTTATTTTAGGCACTAGGGAATCTTTCATGAATTGACTTGACATCTAGTCAATGGTGGCATGCAGCTCCCTTCAGGCTCTGTCTGTATAAAGTCCTTTACTTCTGAAATGAGTGTGAGAACACCTTACATCACCCTTTGTGCCCCAGACAGAGCCTTCATCCTTACCTGCTCTCCCTTAAAGCTTCAAGTTTCTTTTCTCTTGGATTTAAAAGTCTTCAGTTTGTGCTTGAATAGTGAATGCAGAACACTGTATCCAAGAAAGATTATTTTAATGAAATTATGAGCTTGAAGAGGTCTGAACTGAGAATTTCAGTGCAGTTTCATTAACTGCAGCCTTTGGCCTAGGGAACAGCTGTAAGCCTGGAACTGGTGCTGCACCTCTTCTGTGCCTTATATTTAGTGACTTTTAAATTGTCTGTACCATGTGCAGGGTTGGACAGAAAATATGAACCTGGAGAGGGGACAATCAACTTGACCAAAAGTTTCTTTTGAAGTCTGGAAAGTCTGGTTTATTTTTAGTCCAAACAAGCAGGCAAGAACAAGTTTCTCTTAGACTACTGATGTAGCCCATGAGGTCAGGAACATTTGAAGCCAATAAGGACTCAATTTCTCACAAAAAGGACATTAATATGCTAAATTTCTATAACCAATTTGTATGTAATAAATATGTATCATTTAAATAGTGAGTATACTAAGCTTGTAAGTTTCTAATAGCAATTGTACTCAGAGAAAGATGGATTCATTTATTGTGAAGAGAATTTGAGTTTTCAAAGCAAAATACATCTTAGTTAAGATGAACTTTTGCAGAAATTTCTTGCTAAAATAAAAGCAAAGCAGTAGAGAAAAGAGTTAAAATAAGTCTAGAAACAAGTGTTTTTCTGTCTCTATTTACAAGTATTTGGTTCTAGCCAAATACGAACTGACAGGTTTCAGTTTTGATAAAATAGTCATAGATGGTAAACATTTTACAAACAGGCAATATACTGCAATTCATGTTAAAATCAATTTAAATATAGTCAGCAACATAAACTGAATTTGTTAGTGTTGTAAAATGTTGAATGAGTTTTATAAAGGCCTCTAGCAACATATAATACCGTATCTTTATGTGAAGTGCTCTTCAAATTGTATTTACAGTAGAAATAACTTCTCATAGTTCTAATTTTTCTGCATATACTGTTCATCAAAGTCAAATTATATTAAGGAATTTTTAATTTTAGTATCAGGGTTTTTTTTCCTCTGATGCTTGAGTTCATATTGCACTGAATTATTTTGGAAGAGAAAATGAGAGCAGAATTTACTGGGGAAGAATAATCTGGTCTTGAAAACATATATACTTGTTTCAGCAAAGGAAAATCTGATCTGTTTTTAGATATGCATGCTTTGACAAGAAGATATGATAAATTAATACCCTTCCCACTTGAAAACCATTGGGAAGAGCTAATATAGAAGCTAAACAGGAAAAAAAGTTTCATTGAATGTTGTGCAGGAGTACATGGGAGTTCGAAGGACTCATTTTGGAGTATATAGAAAAATATTAGAAATTATTTCAAGTTTCCTGGCATTTTGGTAAAACAGGAGGTATTGATCCACTGATTCCCTCTGCTAAGGGACTGGGTGTGTCCTGGGAGAAGGCAGAAGACTGTATTGTTTATGGAAGATACAATTTTTAATGGAAATACAATTTTGACACCAGGCCTGGATTTCAAGGGCAGACGACTTACAGGGATGGAGTTCCCAAGGGAAGAGGTTGGGATGAGGCCCTGGCACTTCCAGGGCTGCCATGCTGGATGAGGGAGGCAGGTGGAGATGCCTAACCCTGTGG